AAGTGTGACCATTCTATGTTACAATACAAACATATATACATACAGACATGCAGATACACATACATACATACATACATACATAGACATACACATACATACATACACACATAAATGCATATACTTGCATACACACATATTACTACTACATTGCTGTCACTCTGAATCAAGTATGACGATCATCCAAATGTGATACAATGTTATGAGTTGGTGAGTTCTGAGGTGACTCAAGAGGCCGTTACGGGGACTGGCAGGGGCGATCTTAGATGTTGCACATGTGGGGGCGGCTGCAGCGTCTTTCCGGCGTTGGTGCTTGTCTGCCATTTTATGCAGTCGACCTAACTCTTAAGTATTGACACCTTCTTGTGTGGTGATCCTCAAACCGTTACGGTGTGGAGTAATCGTCTCCCAAGTGAGGAGTCAATTTGGCAATTTTTTCAGGTTTGTCTTAAGATAATCGTTATACCTTTTCAGTTGCCCGCCAGCGTTACGTTTACTATTCGTTAGGTGACTGTAAAGTAGCTGCTTTGGCAGTCTACTGTCGTCCATGTGGATATCATGGCCACTTCCAGCGTAGTTGTCAATGGATAATGGTAGCTTCGATGATTCTACAGTTGGTGTCAGCAAAACTGGCATTTGTTCTCTTGTCTTCCCAGCGAACTCGGAGGATGGAACGTAGACTACGTTGATGAAAGTTTTCAAGTGCATTGATGTACCTCGTGTATGTGGCCTATGTCTAGCTGCCATATAGCATGGTGGGGAGGACCACTGCTCGATATTGGTGTAACTTAGTACATAATTTCAGCTCCCTACAGCTGAAGACACGGTTTCGGAGTCTGCCAAAGGTTTCAGATGCACATCTGATCCGATGCTGAATGTCATCATCGATGTCAGCGTTTGGTGGACAGGTGTGAGCCGCGATACAAAAAGTGGGTAACATTAGTGAGGGTAGTGCCGTTAAGCTAGATGGATGGTGGAGGTGTGTTTGAACCAGGGGCAGGCTGAAAGAGAATCTGAGTCTTGCATACTGTAAACGCCTTAGTTAAGGACGTTCAGGTGACAGGCAAGTCGAAGGGAATGATTGAAACCCGCCTTTTGACACATACAATATTTATTGATGTGGTCAAAACCTGCAGAGAACAAGGCATTCATTAGTATTACATGGTGATCTATTTAATACATAATTAGTTAGTTCCACACAATTTACATAAAAAAAAAATTCTCATGGTTCTGGATCAAAACAGTCTGATTCTAGTGTAATTGTATGTGCTGAACTCAATTATGACATTCGTATAGCTGTATCAGGCTCAGTTTTCCAGAACCAGCATATCTATATATTTAGTGTACCATGCTATTCATACAGTAATTTATATGCTCATTGGCTCCACTTATGCAATTATTTTGTCCTGATTTGTGCTTTTTTGTTTGTTTCAGTTTGCTGATTCATGATATTGCATATCTACACCTGCATGATTTGTAATTACTCTGAAATTAACAAAACATGGAACGTCGCAAGTGTGTGAACGGTGCTGACAGTTTTTGCTACATATGTGGTGCCTTCACTCCTGGTAGCCTCAAGAAACCAATCACAAAAGCTGTTCGACTGAACTTCAAAAGTTACTTCAAATGTCATTTGGGTGACCAAGACAAGAAATGGGCACCTCATGTAGCCTGTAAGTCTTATGTTAACCACCTGAGCGAGTGGATGTGTGGTAAACGAAGTTCAGGAATGCCGTTTGCTGTACCAATGATATGGCGTGAACCTAAAGACCACAGTAGTGACTGCTACTTCTGTCTCACAAATATTAAGGGAATAAAAATCAAGACACGAGGCAAAGTACAGTACCCCAATATTGCTTCTGCAATCCGACCAGTACCGCACAGTGCTGAACTTCCAGTCCCAAATCCACCGACTGAACAAGAATTGAGTGATTCCGATTCTACCTCTACCTCAATGGAAAACGACTACCAGGATGACTCTGAAAATATTTGTATCTATTGATTTTTTTATAAAACCTGGTCTGATAGAACAAAACAAATATCAGATTCGAATTCAGCAATATGAAATTAGTTGTGTGAGCATGATCTCATATGTGAACCATTTTGGCTGTTGACCAGTGTTATAATTGATTATTGAGCCAAGTGACATGATACAAAGTTCCTAACTCTATTAATCTTAGCTACACTTCATTCTGCGTTGTCTTATTACTCCAGATAAGGCAGGAACGAGTTGGCATAATTAGTCAACAATATTTCAGTATTGAGGGGGATGTCATCACTTTGGCTGTACTTACAAGTGCGGATCAATGCGAACCAGTATGGTGTTCCAAGGGAAAATAGTACCATACATTTAGAAGAATCAGGACCTCTTGTCTGTAAACACCGCCCACTCCCTAATCGTTGTTGGGGTAAGGCAGCAAACGCCAGCACTCACGCCAGTGGCGATGACACTCCCGGTGGTAAACACCCCCCCCCCCCACCAGCCGCCACATCTGGAGAGGTAACAGGCCGCGTGGGTGGGGGGGTGGCAAGTGGTCTCAGGCTGAGAGATCTAATGTTTGTTCGGGTAAGGCAGCAAATGCCAGCACTGACGCCAGCGATAATAAGCCAGCGGCGATAACACTCCCGGCATTGGGCAATTGCCCAAGATTTACGATGTGGCGTGTTCAAGAAGGCATACACAGGTCACTGGCCTTCGGAACTCCCCAGATACGGTTTGCACACGCACCTGGCGCACCAGACCATCAGCTCCTGGGACCACTGCCGTGACCCTGCCCAAAGGCCATTTGTTGCGAGAAAGATTTTCTCCAGTGATGAGGACAAGGTCATGTTCCCTGAGATTCCGGGTTGGTTCTATGTACTTCTGTCTTTTGCGGAGTAGTGGAAGGTACTCCTTCACCCAGCTATTCCAGAAGCGGTCTGCTAGGAACTGAACGTGCCGCCGCCATCGTTGATATGAGTCCTTGAGAAGACATCCTCCCAGTGACAGATCAGCGTGTGGGCCACAGTGGAGGATATGGGCTGGTATAAGCACTTCCAGGTCTCTCACGTCGCTCGAGGCAGGGGTGATGGGTCGACTATTTATGATCGCTTCCACTTCACAAAATAGCGTCTGCAGTCGATATTCATCCAGGACTTGGGTCCCCACAATTGCTCTGAGAACCTTTCCGACTGTTCGGATTTGCCGTTCCCAGACTCCTCCCATGTGCGAAGCCGCTGGAAGGTTGAATACCCATTCTATTTCTTTTTTCTGAAAGTGTCTGCGTATGCATTCATCATTCCTCTAACTATGCACTGCCGCACGGAGTTCCTTGCAAGCCCCGACCATGTTGGTGCTGTCGTGATCCCAATATCCTTTAAACTTGGGGAGTGAAACCTACCCCAAGTTATCATCAAATAAAGGAACAAACAGGGAACACGGCAATAATTATCCCCACAAAAACCGACTCAACTGAATGTACTTGAATAATTAAGAATAAGTTGGAGTAAGTGAGTCACAAATGGGAAGATAAATAAATAATTAAATTTATGTTCTTAAAGGTGTACTGTCAAGCAACTATGGAATTTAAGGGAATAAGTGATTTTATATTAAAATAAGAGTGATGCCGGAAGGGTGAAAATATACCGTTAAGGAGTTAACTCAAATGAATACTACTTAACATTAACTATATTAAACAGAGACATTACAATATATACACAGCAATCACAACCAACTGGTTATTTCCTACCAAATAGGAGATTCCTTAACACCAGGATCCCTTTCTAGGCCTAAGTTAACGTGCCACTAATTATCAGATACCACTAGGGTATTGTAGATGACTGAACAAGGCACGTCTGTACTGAGTCGGTGTGGACACGTCCTGCCTATAGCCTATACCACAGTTTACTAGAGAGAGAGTCTCTGGCCACACAGCATGTGAGTGAGGAGCGTCTTAGCTCACGTGACTCAGAACAGTTGCCAAATAGTCTTATAACTAATTAATACTACTCTTGGTTTGACTTAACAGAGTAACACAAATGATGCATATTAATGACATACATAGATATACAATTAACCTAAGTAACTAAGAACAACAATAAGATAATAGTAAAAATAAGAAGTTATTAATAGCTTGTGTGGAGTGGAGGCGTAAACAGATACCACATGACATGAGCGCTAAAGGCACGTGACAGTGCCATTGTCTGAACGAATACGTTTCAGAGTCGTACCCTTTCTGGCGATGAAGCGGACAGTAGTGTTTAGGAGTGCATCTGTATCTAGAGACTCCAACACCTCCAGTTGCACTGCACGACTAGCTAGGCAGGTGAATATGCTGCCATATCTCTTGGTACTCTTTCGTCCTAGTCTTACTGTGAACGGGCCAAAGCAATCAGTGCCCGTGTAAGTAAAGGGACGCCCCCCGGGCTCGGTCCGGTCTTCGGGCAGCATGGCTTCCCTTTGCCTAGTGGGCTTCCAATTGTTACGGAGGCAAGTGACACACTCCTTGATTACCTTATCGGCAACAGGCTATCCAGAACTCACACCGGAGTATGGACAGTGTATGTTCTCTCCCGGAATGGCCAACGCCCACCACGTGAGCTTCCTGCACTATAAGTTTGGTCACTGGGTGGTCTCTGGGCAGTAGAACTGGTCCAGTTCTTTCTTTGGCATCTTGCAACTTTCCTCCTACTCTGAGCAGCCCGTCTTGGCTTAGGTATGGCTCTAGTTGGTACAGTCGGCTTTATCGTGGCAGCTTTCGGTGCTGCAGGAGGCTCATATCCTCACAATAGGCCTCCCGTTGCAGGAACCGAATGATGGCCCACTTGGAATTCCGCAGTTCAGGCAATTCCAGCGGCTTCGATGTTGCACCCTGAAAGTCGTGTCTCAGGATGCTGTATACTCGCCTGATCCAGGATACACCTCTCTGCAGCACATTTCAAGATGAGTACCTTCTCCATAGCAGTTGCATGATGGCATCGGCATTATTTCCTGCTGTGGCTAATGAAACCGCCTCGAGCTTAACCTAGGGATCATTCTCAAGTTCGTGTCTGATTTCCGGTTCTCTCGGCCAGTACTCCTCAGGTCGAGACAAAAAAGAGGGACCACCAATCCATCTGCATTCCTTTAACATGTCTTCAACATGTATGCCTCTTGTAGCATCATCTGCTGGATTCCATCTTGATCGTACATGTCTCCATTGGGCCTTCTCCGTGACTTCATGTATAGCTGAGATCCTGTTGGCAATGAAGGTATGGAAACGTTTCTCTAGGTTGGCGATGTACTTGACCACAATCATACTGTCCGTCCAGAACACGGATTCTTCAAGTGGGACTCCAATTTTACGCTTGACTGTCTGGTCTGCTCTTGTCGCCAGGACTGCTGCACAGAGCTCCAGCCTTGGGACCGTTAGCTGTTTGAGAGGGGCCAGACGAGCCTTGCCACAAAAGAAAGAAAATCCGGCATTACCTTCATTATCTCCTGTCCGTAGGTACGTCGCAACTGCATAGGCCACTTGTGAGGCGTCACAGAAGTAATGGAGTTGCAATGAGATGGCACAACCCAGGCCCCCGTGTCTGTAGCAGCGAGGAACTTTGAAGTTTCGCAGTGATTTCAAATCTTCAAGCCAGCGCAACCACATGTGAAGGTTTTGCTTGGTTATGTCTTCGTCCCAGTCCTTCTTCCGCTGCTTTCGTGTTGGAAAATGAGCTTGGCTTTGATGGTGAAAGGGCAGATGAATCCTAGAGGGTCGTACACGGAGCTTACCACTGGTAGTAAGCCCCATTTTGTCGCCGATCGGGTGGGAAACTGAACCTTTGCTGCAAACTGGTCTCCTTTTAGGTCCCACATGACTCCTAAGGCTCTCTCTGTGGGTAAGTCTTCACATCCCAGGTTCACTTCCTTCAGTCCAGCATGTCGACTTTCAAATGGTATCGTGTTGAGGACCTCTTTGTCGTTGCTGATCCATTTTGTGAGTTTGAAGCCTCCCAGGGATAGAAGATGTCCCAACTGCCGAGATATCATAATTGCTTCTTTTGGTTCAGTTACTGACAGGAGCAAGTCGTCGCACTTCTTATCATGTTAGATCCGGGATTTTGGTCAGGTGCTGAGCACTCAGACTCAGGCAGAGGGTGGCCCCTTCATCTCCTGTGGCCGTAATATTGTGGTCGTTCAGCTCTGGAGGGACAACTTCTGCCTCTGGGTCTCGGTCACCTTCTTCCATGTTCACATTTCCCTTTCGTTGCTCTGGATCCATTCCCACTACCTCTTGTCCTCTTATTGAGAATTATTTGCAGCTCCGGTTAGGTCTCAAAGTTTGTTCGATGAACCACTGCTCACCGACTGTATTTGCGTTCGGTGGTGTGGCTCGCTGCTTGTATGTATGTTTGACAATAGTAGGTAACTGTTGGTTGCTTATGGTGTTACAAGTGACACTTCACTGCCGGTTACTTACGGTGTTACAAGTGAATCATTGCAGGGTGCTTATGGTTACAAGTGGATCACTGCAGGTTGTTTACGGTGGTACAAGTGGATCACTGCAGGTTGTCTACGGTGTCACAAATTGAGGTGAAATTAAGTCAATTTAATCACACTTACCCTGTAATTCGTTGAGTTGGTTATTTTTTACCTCAAACTCGGTCAGCTGCCCGATATGATCACTGGTGCACACACACACACACACACACACACATAGCCGTATAATCACTGGGAGGGTGGGCCTGCCTGTCTGGAATGAACAGTAACAGCCCGTTCGCTCGGACTCAAACTATACAACACTGTCCGAGTGTAGTGAATATTCGTTCACTGGGTGCGCGGGCTGGCTGGTTGCAAACAAACGCTCACAGCACTGTACGCTTGAACCGAGACTTTATGACAACCCCTCAGATATTTGAACACTTCACTCAAACACACAACACTCCGACGTCCCACCCACTGTGGGTGGGTGGCTGACTGACGACCTACGTTGTCCTGCGCTGAACTCCCGGAGTTGGTGACGTGTCCTGTGGTCCTTTTGTCCTCCTGGTAGTTGAGAATTCCCTTCGACGCCCTCCCGTACTCATTTTGACTGTAAACGTCTTAGTTAAGGGCGTTCAGGTGACAAGCAAGTCGAAGGGAATGATTGAAACCCGCCTTTTGACGCATTCAATATTTATTGATGTGGTCATAACCTGCAGAGAACAAGGCATTCATTAGTATTACATGGTGATCTATCTGATACATAATTAGTTAGTCTCACACAATTTATCTTAATTATAATTGATTATTGAGCACAGTGACATAATAGAAAGTTCATAACTCTACTAATCTTAGCTACACTTCATTCCGAGTTGTCTTATTGCTCCAGATGAAACATGAACGAGTAGGCATTATTAGTCCACAATATTTCAGTACTGAGGGATATGTCATCACTTTGGCCATACTTACAAGTGCGGGTCCATGCGAACCAGTATGGTGTTCCAAGGGAAAATACTACTGTGTAAATTGTTGCAGCACAAAACTCAGCCAGGATTGGCAGTCAGTGTTCACCATTACTAGCAGAGGGCTGGTCCTCACAGCATCACTTGAGGGGGCAATCTCATGGAGTCCAGGCGGCCACGCCACCCTTTAAACCATACATTTAGCAGAATTAGGACCTCTTGTCCGTAAACACCGCCCACCCCTTAATCTTTATTCGGGTAAGGCAGCAAACGCCAACACTCACACGCCAGCACTGACGCCAGCGGCAATAATATTCCCGGCGGTGCCAGCACTGACGCCAGCGGTGATAACACTCCCGGCGGTGCCAGCAGTGACGCCAACGGCGATAACACTCCCGGCGGTAAACACCGCCTCCCGCCACATATGGCGAGGTCACAGATCGCGTTGGGTGGGGGGGAGGCATCACTTAATGCACGAGTCATTAAGGCAAGCATGAACTCCGCATGCTTTCCAGTTGGGCACTGTAAACGCTTCTGCGCTTTACTTTGCACAGGATGTAAGGGGGTGCCCAATAAACTAGCCCCCTCCGGGGCAATCTGCAAATCTTGAGAGGGCGATCTGCGTCATGAGAGCCACGCCATCCTTTAAACCATACATTCAGCAGAATCGGGACCTGTTGTCCGTAAACACCGCCCCCCCCCCTAATCTTTGTTCAGGTAAGACAGCAAAAGCCAGCACTCAAGACAGTGGCGATGACACTCCCGGTGGTAAACACCGCCCCCCCAGCCGCCACATTTGGCGAAGTAACAGGCCGCGTTGGGGGGGGGGCACGTGGTCAGAGGCTGAGGGATCTAATGTTTGTTTGGGTAAGGCAGCAAACGCCAGCACTGACGCCAGCGATAATAAAACAGAGGCGATAACACATACATTCACCTCAAGGCCGAAGTGATCATACACATCTGTGTAGGTGTTCAGAATCTCTTGTAAGTCACGTTCAGTGTGAGCGACAAGGGTGATGTCGTCTGCATACTGAAGATCAGTAATGGAAGCTGCCAACACCTTTGATCCTGCCTGGAGTCGTCTTATGTTGAAAAGATCCTTTATCTGGTACGTGATATCCACCCCGCCGGCTAAATTTGCGCTGGAACGAGTAAGGAAGGCAGCCAAGAAAATGGAAAAGAGAGTTGGTGCCAGGACACACCCTTGTTTAACTCCAGTTTGGATGGGGAAGAACTCAGACTGGGTGCCATTGTTCAGGACACTGCCGTTCGTGCCATCGTGGAGTTGCCTCACAATGGCGATGAATTTTTGTGGGCAGCCAAAACGATTGAGGGTCCACCAGAGAGCTTCCCTGTTGACCGAGTCGAAGGTCTTGGTTAGGTCGATGAAAGCCAGGTTCAGTTCACATTGCTGTTCTCTGCATCTTTCCCTTATCTGACGGGCAGCAAAGATTATGTCGGTTGTACCACATGATGGTCTAAAGCCACATTGAGTTTCTGGGAGGAAGTCTTCTGCCTCAGGAAGAAGTCGGCTTAGGAGGACTCGGGCGATATTTTTGACAGCTACGGACAGCAGCTAGATCCCTTGGTATTTGCCACAGTCTGACCGGTCTCCCTTGTTCTTTTAGATATTGGGGGATTTCCTCCTTTCCCATTGTAAAGGCCTGGGATTTAGGGATAGAAATCCCTTACCAGCCCAATCAGGATCTTATAAAAGGAAAGTCAAGAACCATGGTTTTCCGAGGAATAACAAACAACCGTTCGAGATTGACATCTCTTTACTATAAAAATATAACACAAAACTCTGACACCACTCAACAAACATGAAATAACAATGAATGGAATCAAACAATTAATGGAAGCAAATAATTAATGGGAGTCAGCAATTATTGGAAGTCGAACAATTAAAGGAGTCAGCAATTAATGGAATCTAACAAACAATAGAATCAAACAATGAACAGTTATTTCTTACGGCAGCGGCCCTGGGGAACGTTCTGGAATGCAGTGATCCACATGACTTCACACACTCCCATACGCTGCTATACCTACAAGATGGTGGACCACACAAAGGATAGTGGGAGTTGTGATGTCAATGCAAACTAAGAATATTTGTATATTGTTCTGTGATATATTTATTGGCTATTCGTTTTAATAATTAGATTCCAAATAATACCATCGTAGAAATAAAAAAAATACTAGGTTAATACCACGAATATAATGTTAAACATAGTACAAAGCATGTTGGTATGGTCTGTTTACATTCGTGTCGGGAACTACATGACTAAATGATTTTTGTGGTTAGCCTCGAGCTCAGACAATCATTAGCTCTGATGGAGGTTTTAATTTATTTTTATTTTAGTTTAATTTTTCCCAATCTTATAACGGGTGTAGGTTTTATCCACTGATTTTTAGTTTGCATTGACGTCACAACTCCCATATAGGTATAAACGCGTTGCATTAAGGGAGTTGTGACGTCAATGTAAACTATTAATTGGAATTTGTTCACCACTCACCTCCGTCGTGCCAATATGAAGTAATCTATGTAAATCAGGAACAATGAAACGTATTATTCATTGTTAGTAAAATGAAAGTGCAATAATAAATCAGGGATGGTTATTAGTATAGATGCATGAAAAATAAAAGATGAAACAAGATAAAATAAAACAGAAACCGAGCTTACAGGCAGATGAAGAATATACTGATATATTGTTTGTGAATATATGAATAGATACATACTTTTTTATTTGGTGTGTTATAATACTTGGACGTGTGTAAAGCATTGATACACAGTTAATCTTTAGTTACTGAGGTTGTTGAATTCTATCATTATGATGCATTCAGTAACGGTGAGTCAGCTTATAAGAGGGAAGTTGTTGTAGTTCGGCAGTTTAAATACGTAATTAGAAAAAGCTAGTTTCATAGTATCTTTAATCAAACAACTCTCTAATCATAATATAGTGGACGATTATTAGCTACGTAAACTATTGTTTGGTATTTTATTATTTTATTCTGTTTAATTACTAAACGGTTAAAATGGGCTTATTAATGCTCAAATCATTATTAACGATATATATTGTAATGAAAACAGTACCCGGTTAGTCATATGTCACAAGTTATCCACTATCATAGTATGTGTGGCGGTGATAGTGAGTACGGGAGGTATTGTCTTAGATTTTAGGCGAGTGTGTATGTGTGTGTGTGCTTGGAGTGGAGAGAAGGGGAGATGGTTTAAACACCCTCTATATTGCTACCTCAACATTGAAATCAGCTAAAATTAGTGGTGAACAGAATATTCTTTCAATATACTTCGTAAGCCAACATTTCAGGTCACTATTAATCAAGCAAAACATAAATAAAGACACAAATC